CAAGGCACTTCCGTTTGGTGATCATCTGCGTTTCTGCACTTTGTTAGGCCTTGTGCCCACCTTTCCTCACTTGCTGTAGACTTTGCTTGTACTGTGATCTATATATATACCTGTAAGCTTGCCTTGCTAGGTAGAGATCATTTTACTATTGTTGTTGCATATATACCTCTGCATGTGAACTGGCCTTGTGGCCCTTTGCTTGTGCTCAGTGTGTGTGGTGACGTTGTGATCCACCCTGAGCTTCCTTTACTTCTCTTGACTGGTCTTGTGACCCCTTGCTCTCCTCCACTTTGCCTATGGGGGTGTGTCAAATTATATGCCTGTGTCATAATAAAATGTAGGCTTTAGTGGGGTAGCTAATGTAGGGTATAAGTGTTTGTTACCTGTACCGAACTTTCTCGATAGTGCAACCATCCTTTCCCTTTACTCTCGACACTCAGCTGAGGCAGAAGACTGACTAGCAGCAGACCCAATGGCACCTATAGTAGAAGCTGACTTACTAGCACCTAGAGCAGTAGCATGGACACCAGCAACGCAAGGCACACACGAGTAACAGGCACCCTCAGCACTAATAGCATAAGCATACATAGCATAATGTCCCTTGTTGATTTGGGCAAAGTCAAGAGCAAACACATCCACTCCTTTTGCTAGCAATCCCAGCGAGTTCGGGATCTCCTGCTCATCACCATACTCAGCGCGCCAGGCATCCTCAAGATGGCAGAAACAGCGGTACTTAGTATGCCCAGTCTTCCCGCAGGCCTCACCCTTCTTGAGACCTGTCTTCCGGATGTACGGGCAACGAGAAGGACCCCCATGGGAACCACGCTGGACAACCCATTCACGAAGCTGCTGAGGTGTGGGTGTGTCCGGGAGACATGGCAGCTGCTGCTACGCACCCCCAGAGCCTCCGCCGCCACGAGCTGAATTCTTATAGCCTCCACCACTGCCAGCTCCTCCACGACTGCCACCCGAGCCCCCTCAACCCACTCCACCTCCTCCGCCGCCCCCGCCACCTCCACCTCCACCGCCACCACCACCCACTCCACCCCCGCCTCCACCACCTCCACCACCACCACCACCCCCGCTACCACCCCCGCTGCCACCCTCACTAGTGCCGCTCCCACCACCCTTATCCCCTTTGCCCTTGCCGCTGTGGCGCTTTCCACTGGGAGCAGACGCACCGCCGACCTCCTCAATACCAAGGAAATTGACAGCAGTAGTAGAGGCAACTGAGGGTATGAGAGGGAGCGGGGAGTGCCACGAGAGGGAGCGACAGCGGCAGTAATGGTATCAGCCTCAAGAAGGTACTTCTCTAGCGAGGCAAGCATGAGCTCAATGGTATCAACGTGATATAAAGCGGGGCAAGAAAGTGGAAGTACAACGTGATATAAAGCGGGGGGGGGGGGGGGTTCGCACTGAGGAAGGCCGGCTTGAGAGCGGTGCGGTAGCGAGTGTTACTAGCGCGAAGGTGGGTGAAGAGATCAGCAACAGTGTGGAAGTCTGAGAGCTCACGAAAGAGATACGGCATCATGAGTCGGCCGAGGGCAGCAGTAGAGGGGAAGGAGTAACGAGCGACTACTGCGTCATAAAGTTCCTTAGCTGTCATAAGCTGGCAAAGGTGAACGCGCTCATCTAGTGAGAACGCACTATGGACAGCGAGGTGAGCAGCATCATCTCGTGTGAGCCACTGAGAACGGAGGGCTCGGTTAGCGGATTCAAGAGGGGTAGGGAGGGAACCGGACGTGTGCTCTAACAGAGAGACGTCGTCACTAGCCTTACTCTGCAGGTACAGCTGGAGGTCCTTGAGCCAACAGTCAAACGTAATTGGGCGATAATCTGCGTCAAAGGTAAGGACATTAATCGTAGCCATAGTGGGCAGTAGAAGTGGGTAGAACAGCAGCAGTAGCAGCAACAGCAGGGTGGCTCAGTTCTACAGGGCCGCGCAGCTCAGGCAGGGCGGCGCGGCTCGGGCTGGGCGGCGCAGCTAGGTAGGGCAGGGCACTGGAGCGCGTGTAGTCGCTGCAGCACAGCATTGTCAGCGCAGCAGTGCAAGCGGCAGCTGCAGTAGCGGGTGCGCGTGCGGGGACAGCAGCTGCAGCAGCGTCAGCAGCAGCGCAGTAGCAGCAGCACGGGCACGTGCGCACAGCAGTAGCTGCGTTTGCAACAGCGGCAGCAGCGCGCAGGGGTCGGGTGCACGCGCGTAAGGGCAGTAGCCCACGTAGTAGTGGGCAGTGCGTAGGTGTGCGCAGGGGCCGGGTGCACGCGCGTAAGGGCAGCAGCCCACGCAGTAGCGGGCAGTGCGTAGGGGCACGTGGGGCACCACGATGTGCGCACTGCAGGCGGGGCGCACGAAGGCCGTGAGCGTGCGGGGTGCATGTAGCAGCGCGAGCAGCGCGCGGGGCAGCAGGCGTGCGAGCAGCGCGTGGAGCAGAGCAAGGAGTGCGCGACTACAAAGGGGCAACAGGGCAGCACGACGCTCTTTGGCAGGGCAGGGCAGCAGGGCATGGCAGGGCAGCGCAATAGCGCTTCGGGCAGGGCAGGGCAGCGCAATAGCACTTCGAGCAGGGCAGGGCAGCACGATAGCACTTCGGGCAGGGCAGCGCGATAGCACTTTGGGTAGGGCAGAGCGATACTAACGGTGGGCCCTAAAAATATAACCAAAACCTACTTTGAGACCATGTTGAGATTATACCATAGGAATGAATGAACTAGGCAAGGATGGGATACAAGCACTAAACCTAGAAATGTGTTGTACCCTAGAAGGAGTGCACCACGATAGCTTAGCAAGCAGAATTGTACTTTGACAACGCGCCGTAGCGGCAGGAGCTGACGTGTACGCGGTCAACATTAGGGTTGTTGAGGCAGCAGCAAAACCAAGCGATTTGCAAAAACTGCTTGCGGACGTACCGGATGACTTCAGAAGCAGTCTAGTGGTGTTTTTTTCGGATGATCCGCAGGGCCTCAGCTACTGCATGACCACAGGATAGAATTAGAACTGGGGGCACAACCGACAATGCAGCAATAGTTCATACGACCCAACCCGGACTGTACGAACTGCAATAGCAGCTAGATTAAGTGCTTGAGAAAAAAATCATTCACCCGAGCTCGTCACCTTTCGCAGCACCGATACTGTTCACACCAAAGAAAGACTAGGTTTTCACATGTGAATAGACTACCGCACACTGACCAGGGCTCAGATCAAGTCCCATTACCCCATCTCGCAAGCCATCAAACTGATAGACTAGCTTCGCACACCCGAGTCTTCTCAAAGATCGACGTTCGAGAGGGATACCACCAGATCCGAGTCAACCTACCTGACTGCCCAAAAACCGCTTTCCACACCCGCTACGGATATTTCAAATACACGGTGATGCCTTTCGGACTAAGCAACTCCCCCGCCACTTTCCGAATGGCCATCAACGATCCGCCCATTGTTAGATAAGTGCGTAACTGTCTATTTTGATGATATACTGATCTACATCCCAGACAGAGCACATCACCTATATGACATTGAAGCAAAATTTAGAACACCGAGTGAGAACCGCCCACTGACCAAAGCCTCCAAGTGTGTTACAGGGTAAATTGGAGTTTTTGGGGCACGTTATTTCAGCCAATGGAGTGGAAATAGACTCGAAAAAGATCACGACGATTCAAGCTTGGCACGCGCCAATAAACTTGACCGAGTTGCAGAGTTTTCTGAGGTTAATCAACTACGTGCGACGGTTCGTCCCCGACATGGCATAATTTACTGCCCCGTTGACCGACATGCTGAGGAAGGGGGTTGAGCGCATGTAGGGTGAGAAAGAGAAAGCCGCCTTCTCAGCCCTCATATTTTTTTTGTGCTAACCGCCCGTGCTTTACATTGCTTATCCCCACCGTCCGTTCGAACTCATCACTGACAAAAGAGACATCTATGTGGGAGCAATTCTATTGCAAAACTTTGGAAATAGCCTTCAGCCAATCGCGTACGAGTCCCACAAACTGTTGGATGCACGTCATTCTGAGTGCATGTCATCCTAACGTCCTGCCGAGTGCTCGTGCTATTTGTGCTTGCATGATTTGCATGAGCGTATGTCATTGTGCATGGCTGTTGGATATTATCATCTCTGTGTTTTTTCTCCAAGTCAAAATGCTTGATCATGCAGGAGAAATCCAGAGCTTTCCAACAACACCAAGATCGCCTTATTCCGACCAAGATCGCCTAAGTTACAAGATTTCCAAGATTTGGATTTCTTATTACCTTTTCGGGTTATATCTAATTTGGGTGATTACTTGGGACATGACTATAAAGGGATCTTTGGTTGGGTGGTTAGGAAGGCAACTTTGACTTTTGGATTGGGGTGGCTAGAAGTTTCTAGCATGGGTTGCAAATGTTGCAACACCTAGGCAAAATCCAACTAGATGGATTTTGCATGTGACACCTCAAGGACCTCATGATGAGGGTTGCATCCTTGCTGCTAGAAAGGTTCCTACCATCCTTCCCTAGCTCTTGGAGAACCCCTTCCCTCTCATGGTTCTCTTGGAGGTTCCCAACTCCAACTTTCCATGCCCTAATGTTTTGTACTTCCTCCACCATTCTAGTCATGTGGCTGCTGGACGTTTTTACTTGGTTCTCACTCTATAGACCATCATAACGACTGATTCAACTTGGAGATGGTAGCTCAGTCTAAGGCGCAAATTCCTACCGAGCGGATTTGCGTTTAGTTGAGTAATGAGTTCGTCGTAAGCTCTCAAAATGACGGATCCTGAACAACAAGTGGTATCAGAGCGGGTAGTCGACTTTGAGATGACGAATCGTCGTTATTTCTCAACCAATGTTGTCAAATGAGACCATTTTCTAGTAGCTCCACTCGCGAACTTTCGATTGAGGGTCGAATCGCGTTCTAATTTGAAGTATCCAGTCCGCGACGGCGATTTTCGTAGAATCGAAATTTCTGGCAGAATTCTCTCCAAACGATTTCTCAAGTTTCCACCGTTCATAAGGCCTCAATATGGTTGGTATGAACTCCGGAGGTGCTAGTGGCAAGATGGATAGAAGTAGAGAGGCTGGAGAGCAGGGGGGAGTTGCTGGTGGAGGAGTGGGGACTCACCAACCAGCAACCCCTATGCTACCTACTTCTTCTACACCATCTCCTACTACCGTGGATCCTGTGAAAGCTTTCTCTATTGAGAAATTCATGGGGGAGGACTACGAGCACTGGAGTTTCCGCATGAGGCTGATGTATACCCAATGCAAGCTATTGGATTTGGTGGAGGGAAAGGAGAAGATGCCGGAGGCCGCGGAGCTGAAAGGAGCGTGGATGAAGCGATCGTTCGACGCGTACATGCTCATGGTGCAAGCGGTTGGCGGACGACAACTTGACCACATCAAGGACCTCTTGGGTGATCCAGCGTGTGGCCCCAAGGCTTGGAGGAAGCTTCTGGATGTGCACTCACCGACACATGCTACGGGCATCGTGCTACTCGCGCGGCGGCTGCGCGACATCAAGTTCGTTGATGGAGAGCCGATGCAACCGGTGTTGGATGAGATGCGCGACATCTTCACGAAGCTCCAAGGAGGCGGTGTGGTGTACCCGGAGCTCGTGCAATGCGTGGAGATCGTGATACGGCTGCCGGAGTCATGGTCTGCCCTAGCGATCAACCTCAACTCCCAACAACCCCAATGGAGCGTGGATTACATTCGCGCGCGCATCCTAGAGGAGGACCTGCGGCGGCGGAGTGTGGAGCGCTCGGAGGAGGGGGCTGGCTATGGAGTTGGAGGTGGAAAGAGTGGCTTCAAGAAGAAGTGGAAGGGCAAGAACAAGGATAACCCTAAGGAGGATGGCGGCGGGGGTCAAGGGGAGGTGTGCTTCTACTGCAAGAAGCGCGGACATCGTTGGCGGAAGTGCTACCAACGACCCAAGGATTGGACCCCGCCTTCATCAAGCAACCAGCGTGGTGGCACGAGGAGTGGGGGAGTCATGGGAGCTAGTGGAGAGGAGAAGGATGAGGAGAAAGGTGGCAAATCTGAGGAGCGGTAAGGCCGGGTTCTTCTTCTTCGTGAACGAAGGCGCAACCGACCACGCTATGGCTGCCAAGGTTCTCCTACACCCCCTCACCCATTGGGTGATTGACTACGGGAGCTCTTGGCACATGACTCCTCGTGCGGACCTACTTGATGAGATTCAGCCCGCACCCATCTCTACAGTCACATCCGCGACGGGCGCCAAGGCCAAAGTCATGGGCATGGGATGCGCCAAGTTCATGGGAGCGGATGGAGAGCTCATGGGGCTGAAGAACGTGCTGTGGGTGCCGGACTTGTGCGCGAACCTGATTTCTACCGGCTGATTGGGAGATGCGGGTGTGAACACCGAGACGATTGGCTCGGAGCGCTATCGTGCCTACAACGATGAGCGGCTGATTTGGGACCTGCAGTGGAAGGGAGATGTCCACAAGCGGATATGGCAGATCCCGGTCCTCCCTTGGCGGAAATCGGGCAAGGCGGCAGCGGCGGCATCTATGGAAAAGAGCGTCACCGAGGAGGAGCAGCAAGGTGTGCAAGGAGAGGAGCTGAATGGAGGAAGCGCGGCGGTGAAGGTGTCGGCTTCATCAGGCCAAGCGGATTGGGAGACTTGGCATCGGCGACTCGCACACGTGGCTGTTTCTACATTGGAGGTGATGCACAAAGAGAAGTGTGTGCATGGGCTGCAACTGCAAGGAGATGGCACTCACTATGGCAGCTGCGAGGCGTGCATGCAAAACAAGTTTGCGCGGTTCCCGTTTCCACGAGCGGAGGGATCAGCCAAGGCACCATTGGAGGTGGTGCACATGGACCTGGTGGGTCCTATGAGGACTGAGGGGACTGGGGGAGTGCTGTACTTCCTTACCATGGTGGACGAATGGAGCCGTTTCACGTGGGCGCGTCCCTTGTCCAAGAAGAGCGATGCTGCAGCGGCGATCAAGGAGGATTGGTTGCCGATGGTGGAGCGGCAAGCGATGCGGCTGGTGAAGGTGCTGAGGAGCGACCGAGGTGGAGAGTTCCTTGGAGCGGAATTCACCAAGTTCCTCAAGAGAAATGGCATCCGACATCAGCTGACCTGCCCTGGAACACCGCAGCAGAACGGCATTGCTGAGCGTGCCAACCGGACTATTGGCGAGGCGGCTAAGACCTTGTTGGGGGCTGCTGGGATGCCCTACAAGTTCTGGCCTGATGCCGTTCGCCATGTCATCACGGTCAAGAACAGGGTCTTGACGCATGTTGGCGACAAGCATTGGGTGCCGTACGAGCGTTGGCTTGGGAAGAAGCCATCTATTGACATGCTGCGTGTGTGGGGCTGCATGGGGCTTGTGATGGTGCCTAAGGAGCAGAGACACAAGCTGGAAGTTGCTGCTGTGTGGGCTGTCCATCATGGGATGGCTCCTGACTCGAAGGGGTGGCTGATGTGGGACCCCAAGAGCAAAAGGACGCTGGTCAGCCGTGACGTCAAGTTTGTGGAGGACGTCATGTACAAGGACTGGCAGCAGCAGCAGCAGCAGGTGCAGATTGGCTTGCGTCTGCAGGAAATTGAGCGATCTGCAGTGGAGGAGGTTCAGCTGCACCTTGATGAACTTCACGGGTCAGAGCTGACCAGTGACCACAGTGGCGGTGGTGAACAGCAAGTTTCTGGTCCTGCTGGAGAGGAGGGGTTGGAGGATGAGTCGGCACGTGTGAACTCACCATCTCAGCCCGAGCCTGCTGCAAACGCCAAGGTCACCAAGAGGAGTGTGCAGAGAGGAGCTTCACCACATGGGCAGCAGACTGTAACCCGTGAGAAGAGAGTGGCAGCAGCACCCTCAAGGCTGAAGTATAGCCGTTTGGGAGGACCCAAGCAAGGTGCCATGGCGGTTCAGGCGAATGAGGGAGAGGATGAGGAGATGGCGTTCTGTTTCTTCACACCCTTGCCTGGAGAACCAGCCACAGTGGAGGAGGCACTTAGTGAACCCCAAAAGGAGGAGTGGAAGGCTGCCATGGATGCGGAGTTCAACAGTCTCATTGATAATGGGACTTGGGAGCTTGTTGAGTTACCCGAGGGGCGACGGCCGATCAGTAGCAAGTGGGTCTTCAAAGTGAAGAGTGGTGCTGATGGTGCGTTGGAGCGGTTCAAGAGCCGCTTGGTTGCCAAGGGGTTTCAGCAGAAGGAGAAGGTCGACTTTGGGGAGATCTTCGCTCCCGTTGCTAAGCCAGTGACATTGAGGACTTTGATGGCTGGCGCAGCTGTAAAGGGATGGCACGTGAAGCAGATGGATATCACCACTGCGTTCCTCAATGGAATATTGCTGGAGGATATCTACATGGCGCAGCCCGACGGCTATGAGGATGGGACCAGCCGGGTGTGCAAGCTTAAGAAGGCCATCTATGGCCTTAAGCAGGCGCCCAGGTGTTGGTACGAGAAGCTGGAGGAGGTGCTGCTGGGTGGAGGCTTCAAGACGTCCCAGGCAGATCACAGCTTGTTTCTGCTTGGAGAGGGGGAGCAGCTGCTTTTGCTGCTGGTGTATGTCGACGACATACTGCTGTTCTCACCTTCCATGGAGCAGATTGAGAGGACACAGAAGCTGCTGATGGACAACTTCAAGTGCAAGATGCTGGGGGATGTCCACTACTACTTGGGGCTGCAGATTGAGAGGGATGTTGAGAGGAGGTGGCTGAAGGTGCATCAGTCACACTACATCTCTGGTGTCATGGAGCGGTATGGTGTGACTGGGGGTCGCACTGTGATGACACCGTTCCCTGCGGGCTTCAAACTGAAGAAGGCAGCTGAGGAGGATGATGTACTCTCGAGGATGAGCAGCAGAATGAGTACCAGTCACTCATTGGGAGTGTGATGTATGCAGCTGTGCATACGCGACCTGATGCTTCATTCGGAGTGGGGCAGCTGGCCAGAGTTGTGCAACGGCCCACTGTGGAGCAGTTGGAGGTGGCAAAGCGCTTGGTGCGCTACCTTGGATCAACAGCATATGCTGGTGTTCAGTTTTCAGCTGGCGGCCAGCTGAAACAGATTGGAGCAGATGGGGTCACGCCTGGTACCTTGAAGCTGTCATGCTTCACCGACGCCACATGGGCCTCAGAGGATGAGGATCAGTTATCGGTTGGCGGCTTTGTGTGCATAGTGGGAGGTGGACCAGTGAGCTGGAGGTCCAAGAAGCAGAGTGAGATTGCTCAGTCTTTCGGAGAGGCAGAGTACATGGCGATGTACCATGCCATCAAGGAGATCGTGCTCCTCAGGAAGCTGCTGGAGGATATGGGAGCTGAACAGGAGGGACCTACACCACTTTTCTCCGACAGTGAGGCTGCTATTTGCATGGCCAATAATCCTATCCTGAATGGGCTGAACAAGCACATGAAGATTAAGTGGCAGTGGGTGAGGCAGATGGTGAAGGAGGGAGCTGTTGAGCTTCACCATGTGAAGGCTAGCAAGCAGGCGGCAGATTTTCTCACCAAGAGACTTCTCGAGAGCGCACATTGGAAGTGTGCTAAGATGTGCGGCATGGCATTGCACTAGTGTGGGCAGCAGTGTCGTGAGTGCTTGTGTGATTGTAAGCATGAGAGTTTGCATTTGTGTGAGTGTGTGTGCATGCAGTCCATTAGTCTGAGGGGGAGTTTGTTGGATGCACGTCATTCTGAGTGCATGTCATCCTAACGTCCTACCGAGTGCTCGTGCTTTTCATGCGTGCATTGTTTGCATGAGCGTATGTCATTGTGCATGGCTGTTGGATATTATCATCTCTGTGTTTTTTCTCCAAGTCTAAATGCTTGATCATGCAGGAGAAATCCAGAGCTTTCCAACGACACCAAGATCGCCTTATTCCGACCAAGATCGCCCAAGTTACAAGATTTCCAAGATTTGGATTTCTTATTACCTTTTCGGGTTATATCTAATTTGGGTGATTACTTGGGACATGACTATAAAGGGATCTTTGGTTGGGTGGTTAGGAAGGCAACTTTGACTTTTGGATTGGGGTGGCTAGAAGTTTCTAGCATGGGTTGCAAATGTTGCAACACCTAGGCAAAATCCAACTAGATTGGATTTTGCATGTGACACCTCAAGGACCTCATGATGAGGGTTGCATCCTTTCTGCTAGGAAGGTTCCTACCATCCTTCCCTATCTCTTGGAGAACCCCTTCCCTCTCATGGTTCTCTTGGAGGTTCCCAACTCCAACTTTCCATGCCCTAATGTTTTGTACTTCCTCCACCATTCTAGCCATGCGGCTGCTGGACGTTTTTACTTGGTTCTCACTCTATAGACCATCTTAACGACTGATTCAACTTCGAGATGGTAGCTAAGCCTAAGGCGCAACTTCCTACCGAGCGGATTTGCGTTTAGTTGAGTAATGAGTTCGTCGTAAGCTCTCAAAGTGACGGATCCTGAACAACACAAACTTCACCTGCCTGAGTGCAACTACCTGATACACGACCACGAGATGCTTACAATCGTGAACGAATTCAAAGTGTGGCGGTGCTACGTGAGAGGAGTTGACATGACAGTGCTGACAAAACATCGTGCACTATAATACCTACGCGCCCAACCGAATCTCAACCCGTGACATATACGGTGGTTAGACTATCTGAAGTCTAATTTCCACTAAACCATCACGTATCAAAAGGGAGCATTGAACACACCGACGCCCTCACTCGCCCCACTGCCCAACTCCATGCCATCCTACTTGCCCAAACCAGCCCACTGCTAACAGGCCTATTCACCCACGGATACAGTACCAACCCATTTTTCACCACTAGAATTTTGCAGCAGCTGATCGAAGCAAGAGATTTTATTATGTAAAAACCGGTGCCAACCGCATCTGGGTACCAACACACTCACTGCTACGAGAATTGCTACTGCAAGAGGCATACGACGGGATTACCTTGGGTCATTTTGGGGTAGAAAAAACGGACAGCAACTGCAACAATATTACTATTGGCCGGAGCAGCAGTTGACTGACCTACAGCACCATGTGGGTGGGATAGTGCCTTACGTGTCAGGTGATGAAGAGCTCGCGCAAGAA